ATAATAATTATTAAAAAGATTAATTTATTATTAAAAAATTTAATTAATAGTATATAAAATAAAATTATCTTTAAATTCTTTAAGACCAATTAGAACTTATTAGAACTTTTACCAACCCTATAAATACCAGATCTAGGCCTTATCCCAAAAATCCTATCTCAAAGAACAAAAGAGGAAGACGAAGTGAATCTCAAAGAGAAGAGCTTTTAAGACCTACAATGACTTAACATTTTAGTCCAAATATGCTCGAAGAAGAAATAGAATCTGAACAACCCATACATAAACCAATGGTCACAGAAAAAACAGAGAAAGCACCTCGATGAAGATTGTTACCAGCACCTATCGAACAATTAACTGAATTCAACGTTTCTAGATATCTACAAAATCTACCATGTGGACTTTTTGTAGGACAAGCAGCACATGCAATTCCTAAATATTAATCGGGATTAGTTCAAGTTATTAGACGTTCAAAAGAAAAGAATGCTAAAGAAGCAAATTTAGCAGAAAGTGATGGCGAACCAACCACTGCTGCTAAATGCATCCTTCGAATTAAACAAAAAGCATAAGTTGCAATTATCAATAGCAGAGTTGCTATCAGTATTATCACTAAGTCAATATTAGACAAACTTGAACTTGTAATTCACCGCTCTTCAAAAATGATCATAGTAACTGCAAATGAAGCCAGAACTCGTTCTTTAGAAATTATTGATAATGTATCTGTTAACATTGGAAAAATCCAAATATTAACATCCTTTCAAGTTTTGGAATCAAAAGATGAGATCCTTATTCTTGGAAATGATTGGTTAAGAGAAACTAATACTAACATGAATTGGGAACAATCTACCTTAACCGTTAAACAAGAGAAATATGTTATACGAATCCCTGTAACTTTCACAAAAACCTCTAAAGTAGTAACTCAGGAAGAGGAGGAAACTGACGAAGAAGATGATTATGAGGATAAACTCTTAGAAGAATATCCTATCTACCTATCTGATGAGTGCTTTGAATCAGAATCTGACAATACTGATGAATTGGAATTTAACCTCTGGAATAACTACTATTCTCCAATCAATTCAGAAGAAGATACTGATAATAAAGAAATAGAAAATAGTTCTAAGGAAATTAATCCAGCAATCTTTCTTGCTGAAAAAGCAGAATTTATTGCAGAACAAGAAATCATTCCATTCGAGCAAACAGGACTATTGGATGATCATCAACAATAATTATTCCAAGATCTTTTAGTCAAATATACTGATATTTGTGTAAAAAGTCAAACAGAAATTGAAAGAACCACAGAAATTAAGCATTGCATTTATACTGGAAATGCAATGCCAATTGCCCAAAAACCTTATAGAATAAATCCAGAAAATGCTAAATTTTTAAATGAAGAATTAAAACGAATGGAAACCATGGGCCTCTCCAATTGTAATAAAGGAGGCGATAAAAGACTCTATGTAGATTATCACAAGTTAAATGCAGTAACAAAAATTGATGCTTATTCTTTACTAAGGATCGATGAATTATTAGACTCTTTAGGTGGAGTCTATTGGTTTAACACATTGGATTTAGCCAGTGGATATTGGCAAGTAGCTATGCATCCTGAAGATATAGAAAAAACTGCATTCATTACCACTCACAGATTATATGAATTTCTGGTCATGCTTTTTGGATTAAACAATGCTTCAGACACCTTTCAACGACTAATGAATTGGGTTTTGAAAGATGTTATTAGAATATTTGTGGCAGTCTACCTAGATGATGCAATTATTTACACAAAAGGATCTTTTGAATTACATATCGATCAAATACAACAAGTTTTCCAAGTATTAAGGAACGTATAATTGTTTATAAAATTAAAGAAATGTTATTTCTGCCAACCCTCACTCACTTTTCTTGGACATAAAGTTGGTCAGGAAAGACTTTTACTCAACCCAGAGAAAATTATAAAGATCAAAAATTTTCTAGAACTAGAGCTCCGAATTAGGTCAGGTCAACCTGTGACCCGATCTGATCCAACCTGAAAAATTCAGGTTGAGTAGACAAATTTTTAGGTCAACATCAGGTCAACCAATCAAATTTAACGAAATAAAATATTTAAAAAAAATTTTTTTTTGTCTATTTTTTTTTTAAAACATCTTTAATTTTAAAAAAAAACTCTTTCCCAAACTTCTCATAAACAAACGAAAAAGATCTACAACAAAAATAATGCCTATTACTCATTCGACTTTAGCAAAGAAAAATCAATGAACTAACAATAAAAATAAACGAACTAATTCCTCCAATGATAGTGAAACTTCTAGCTCTATTTCTCAAACTTTTAATAATGACGAAACTATTTCTACTTTAAAAAAGCAAAAAACGCCCCACTCTCTAACGATCAAGAAACAAATATGACTATTCATAACATAATTGAAAACATCATCCTTAACGAAGATACTCCTTCTAATATGATCTCACCATCTATAAATGTCTCCTCTAATATTGTTCCAACTACTGAAATGGATGTTGATACATCTTTAGACAACTTCGTTAACCCTACTCCTATATCACCACCGAAACTAACTACCAATGATTCTATGCACGTAAATTCCAACAACAAAAATAATATGGGGCCTTTGCAATAGAAAGGGGGGAAACAGCCGGAAAAATCAAAAGTGAGTTAATGCTAAATTTGAACATATTTTAGTATAAAAATCATATTTAACATATAAAGTAAAATTGATTTTTCTCAGCAGTTTCCCCCCTTTCTATTGCAAAAATCCCATATGTTCAACAATACTGGTTTCGACTACGACCTTCCCCTAACTAACAAAGGCAAATAACGACAGTCATGGTCAGAAGAAGTTGAAGAAACTGAAAAACCACGTGACCAAGAACCAAAAGAAGTCTTCTTCAATATCATCACTGCCCTCACGCGTTTCTACGTGACTGATAATACATCTGACATCAAAGGAAAATCTGTGGCTGAAAAGCATACTTTCATTAACTCCTTATTTATTCACTTTGACGGGTATCAAGGCTCAACATACATTTCCAAGTTTAGAAAATTCTTTGTTTATTTTGAATCAATAGACTCCTTAAAACATGCTTTCATAAAAACGCAGGAAACACAGCATAACCCCATTTTCACTATCATTGATCCTGCTGTGAAACAACAATGACAAGATGCCGAAAAAGGCAGGACAATCAAAGTTTCTGACATTCTGCTCTTTATCAAATCAGATGTAGTATGAAATTATTTTACCAAATATGGAAAGATCTCTCGTTTCTCCATGATTATCAGAGGACCCTGACAAATCGCCTTTATTGTATTTGAAGATCTCAAATCTATTGCGCAATTCTACGATCAAGTATGGTCCGTTTCCTTTTTGGAAAACTTCTTGCGGGTTGAACCGACCGACCTCGACCCTTTCCAAACTGCACTTAAACAACAATTCGAATTAAAGCTTATTGGATTACTGTACAATATTGATCAGTGGCAACTGATCAATTTTCTTATTCACATTAAAGCCAAATCTTGTTTCATCCCACGTGATCAGCAATATCGCCTTCGACCATATGCTTTTGTCAATTTCACCAACAATGATGACCTTATCTCGACTGCTAATCAATCCCAGAAATTTAAGGGCAAAGTCCTCTACTAGATGGAACCTTCAAAAAAACATTGCAGAATTTGTGATACTCCTGACCACGAACTAAAAGACTGTACTAATCATAAACCAACTAATCTCTACAAACCTCTGTATGACCATTTCAAGCTAGAGCAGTATAGACCGTCAAAACCTTTTCAATCTTCCAATCAAGGTCCATACAAATCTTTTTCATTAATTTTACAGAACGAAAAAAAAGGCTCACATAATGATAGTCTTCCCAATGATAATAAGAATAATAATAATAGTCTTCCCAAAAAAATACCATCTAATACTACCAACGCATTTAAATTTATTCAAGAGAAATTGGATAACATCGAGAACAAACTCACTCTCATAGATAACGAGATAGTCTTTAGCTTTTTTAATTCGGATTTTATTTTGCATAAAGAATTCTATTATCAAGCATGAGCAGAACCAGAAGGACATAAATTTCTGTCTAAATCATCTCGAATATATACACTACGTTGAACATAACCCAAAACAAATCAATAATCCGAATTACGAATTTCCTCTTCACAACGGTGAAGAAGAAATGGATATAACTCCTGTTACTCCTTCCGTTCCAGTTGAAAATAATGAAGTTTTGTCTTTCTCAAACTCTTCGACCGATGTTCCTCAACCTTCAATGATTCACTAACAATGTATTGACTCAGTTGAATCATCTGTAAATGATATTAAATCTGAAATTCAGTCAATTTTGTCCGTTTTATACACTCTTACCCAAACGTTTCCTACTAATAATTAATGAGTATACACCAAATTAGCATCCCAAATAGTATTCCAAAAGCCCATTTGAATCTTAATGAAAAAATTTTAACTAACGATAGTTTTTATTCTCATTTTAATAATCCTAATTTTTTTTCAATCGCTACTCACAATGTCAGAAGTTGTGTTTCTAATGAGAAAATGACCCAAATCGAACAATTTTTTACTTCTTATAATTTAGATATTTTAGGACTAAGCAAGACTCATCTTAGCGCTACACAGGCCCTGTACAGGTCAAAAAATTTCCAGAACAAACCTTACAAATTCATTTTTGCAGCCGACAATACCCAATCCAACTACCAAGGTGTTGGTTTTATTATTAGATCATATGGGGCCTTTGCAATAGAAAGGGGGGAAACTGCTGGGAAAAATTAATTTTACTTTATATGCCAAATATGATTT